AAACAGTCGAGCTCAAAATACATGAAACCAAATCGACCTGTCGAGGCTGCGTCGCTGTGCAGTGACAGAAACCATGTGACTGTGGGTCAGCGAGCGACGAAGAGGAGCGGCCGTCCGACCACACTCACACAGACATCAATACATTCAGCTGTTTGTGGGGCTGCACACACACACACACACACACACACAGTCAGCGGTGTGGATTTACAGCCAGTGTCCATGTGACTAACACAACTACATACCTGAATACAGTAGCGTGTAAAAGTATCTGTATTTTAATATATATAATTTTATCTGTATCATTAATATAAAATTTCCTGCAAAGATTTTACAGACTTGCTTTACTGATTAGTCCCCACAACGGAACACAAGGGGGAGCCAAACCCACCGAGCTCACTGAATATGAGGTCTTTTTTTAAATCATGATCAAGTGGAAACTTCATACAACAGTGTGAGTGTGTGTGTGCATGTGTGGTGCACGGCGTACATACATGACCTGTGCAAACATGTCCCCTGTGGTTCCAGGAATCTAACCCCCGGCAACATGTGAGAGAACAAACCATGTAGCGACATGTACACTCACCGTATGTTCGTCTCGTGAAAACACTTTGACTGAAACTTTAATTTAGCGAAATTCAAACGTAGGACACAGTGTCACTGATCGTGAACACTGCTTGTTGATCACACACACACACTCACACACACACACAGACACACACAGTATGGCACATGGCAGCACGTGTTGCACAACTGCTCCGCTCTGCACTTGACATCAGATACAGCGGCCCCTTCTCACCGGCGGCCGGCTGCATGCCTGAGGCAGATTCCACAGAGGAGGGAGGAGGAGCAGAGTTTCTGCCTGAGTCTGCACACGAGAGAGTAAAGGTTAAAGGTTAAAGGTGTGGGGGGGGGGGGGTCGTGGTGCGGCAGAGTGACTGGAGATAATTAACCCACGGTGAATGGAACATAATCAGCTCCCTCCATCACTAATATATGATGAAGCAGCAATCTGACGATGGAGAAACATCAGAGGTCAGAGGTCAGAGGTCACAGCGCCCACAGCTGGAGGAGGTGAGAGTTGAACTCGACGCACCACAACCGTTCAACAGAACATCACCTCAGCGAGGAACTTGTTCTTCGCGTCTTTGAAAAGAAAACGTGTGTTCACAGCAGCTCGTTGATGAAGCTGAAGACTGACAGATGAGCGTACCTGCAGCGTAACAGCGCCACCGTGTGGCGTAATACCAGCAGCTACCACAACTTTGCACATACATGAGGAAAACAGGCCCCTTAGCATGTTTGTTCACATGTTCATGTTGATTCTGACCCCGACACTCAGAGAATCATTATCAGCAGTAGGACTTGTGGGGACGGACGCAAAACAACATGGACGACAGAGTCTGTCTCATTTTAGCTTTGTCCCCAGTGAACACAATCTACTGCACAAAGACACACACACACACACAC